ACCCGCTATTCGAGTTGACAATCACGTTGTGCATCGTCCTGAACACCGGTTTCCTGGCGATGGAGCATCACGGGATGAGCGAGTCGATACGACAGGCGCTCAACATCGGTAATAAAGTGTTTACCAGTATCTTCACCTTCGAATGCTTGCTGAAGCTGTTGGCGCTGAGCAAAGACTTCTTCGCCAACGGGTGGAACAATTTCGATTTGATAATAGTGTCAGCGTCTCTGATAGATCTGACCTTCGAGCTGGTAGACGGCCTCTCCGTGATACGCGGACTTAGGCTGCTCCGTGTCTTAAAGCTGGCGCAATCCTGGACGACGATGAAGGTGCTGCTCAGCATAATCATCTCGACGATCGGGGCCCTCGGGAATCTGACGTTAGTCCTGGTGATCGTGATCTATATATTCGCGGTGATCGGCATGCAATTGTTCAGCAAGGACTACACGCTGGACAAGTTTTACCCGGACCCGGTGCCCCGTTGGAACTTCAACGATTTCTTTCACTCGTTCATGATGATCTTCCGCATACTGTGCGGCGAGTGGATCGAGCCGCTCTGGGACTGCATGCGGGCCGAGCAGGAGGACGGGCCGGGCGCCTGCTTCGCCATTTTCCTACCAGCGTTGGTCATGGGCAACTTCATGGTGCTGAACCTCTTCCTCGCGTTGCTGCTCAACAGCTTCAACTCCGAAGAGCTGAAACAGAAGAAGGAGGAGGTGGGCGAGGACTCGAAGCTCGCGAGGTCCTTCGACAGGATCCGATCCATCATCCGGAAGAACAAGTGCTCGCGGATGGCGCAGGGCGCCGCGAAGATCAAGGGCAAGGACCCGCGGCTGGAGAAGATCGTGCGCCAGGTGATGGACCGCTCGGACAGCGAGACCAAGTACGCCATTCAGGAGACCGTGCTCAGCCTCCCGAAGGACAACGTCTACAACAGGTCCTACCAGGAGAGCTTGAATCAGCCGGTGTTCACTTACGACCCGATGTACGGCCACCCGCCGGACTCCAGGCAGCACAACTACGACCAATGGGACGAGAGGGAGGAGGAGGAGGAGGAGGAGGAGGAGAAGAAGGACGAAGAGTCGCGCAGTGAGCAATCGAACGGCTCCAAAGAGAAACACCCGGAATCGAAGGAGGACAACGCGGACGAGTCGCAGGACACCGAACACGCCAAGTACTCGTCGCCGGGCAAGGCGCCCGCGGAGGAGAGGACCGCCATGCTGCAGCAGGACGAGCCTCCCTCGACGCGCGAGGAGCGCGTCCCCAAACGACCTTGGCACGCGCTGGTCAGCTACGTGGACGAGCTGACGGTCGGCGGCAGGAGGGACAGCAAGGGCAAATACTTGGACGGAATGGGCTCGTTCCCGGGATTCGGCAGGCACAATCGACGGAAAGAGCCGCAAGACTGCTTCCCCCGGCAGTGTTATCAGAAGTAAGACAAGCATCGTGTAGTCTCGCGGAAACCTCGCCTAGTAGATGAAACGTTTCAGTGCCAGCTCCTTTCGTTTCGAAAATTCTAAATACGATAGTATTAGGTATAAGATAGTATACCTAAAATTCTAAATACGATTCAAGAATCGAGCTGAAAAAGAGAGGCGAGCCTTGGCACTCGGCGTTTGTATCTCGATGATTTTTAAACACATCGCAGAGATCGACGCTCTGAACAATTCTCTTCTGGTACAAGTCTGTCGATCTCTGTTGGCGACCTGTTAACCTCTTTGACGCTTTAACTGCTATCCAATTCGAGTGAAGCAATGTTTCGTATAGACTTAAAAATGATTCTCGCGAGTCCTGATCTTAGCAGTCAACGTGTCAGTCAAAGTAGATAGAGTACTCCCAACGCGGTAGAAAAGATTTTTCTAAAAGAAAACAATCGAGTCGATCGGTTCTTTGAACCTTTGTAAACGCTAATGATTATCAACTGATTGGCAAAGGTGAATGAAAATTTGTATTTTTCTTTGGTTTCGATACTCAATAGGGGATACTCATGAACTTTCCACCGCGTTCAGGAAACGAAGATCGATTCCTTAACGCGGTCGCTCTAACGTCGCGTTGTTTGCGTAGATGCAGCTGCATGGATCGATGCGTAGCGACGTCGATCGGGAAAAAGTGGATCAGACTCCGCACAGTAATCCTCTCAGTGGTGGACACGCCGGCATTCGAATGGATGATATTAGTTTTAATTTTCGCATCTTCCATAACGCTCTGTTTCGAAGACATTTACTTAGATGACAATCCTTTTTTGAAGAGAATACTCTATTGGACCAATCTTGGCTTCTGTGCCCTTTTCAGTATCGAGATGCTACTCAAGTGGTTAGCTCTGGGTTTCTGCAAATATTTCACCAGTTTTTGGACAATCTTGGATTTTATAATCGTCTTCGTAAGTAGAACACACACCGCATACAGAAACAAATACCGCGATGCCACCGATACGTTTCGCTGTTTTTCGTGTTGTCCGTTCTCGCGGCTCGTTCGACGCGCGTGTACAAGTGTCTGTCCCTCCGAGTAGTTTGCTAGACCTGGGCGGATCGGATCGAAACAAGAATCCGTTTAACGTAACAATCTCGAGTAACTTTCTCCTGAAAACTTCCGATTGTCTCTTCGTTTGGAAGAAACGTTGCGTCTACCTTTTCCACGAGTATTCGTTTCTTCTTTCCCACTCGCGAAAAGAAGATTTAAAGGAAGGTGTAACACTTATTTATTCGAGAATAAAATATAGCCTTCTTTGGCCGGTTTTCTTTAAAAAACTGCGCGTTAAGGGATTAAAGGTTCTTTTCGCCTTTTCGTTAGTCGCGTTTTCGTATTGTCGATCGAAAGGAAGTCGATCCGATTCGCCTCGCCCCACTCTATGTGTTTCCGTGCGTGTGTATGGTTGTACGTATGCGAACGGACAAGGGGAACACCCATAAAAAGAAAAGAACGAGCTCGTTTGATGTGCGTCCATCGTCGCTGCATGGATTTCTTTTCGTTCCCGCCGATCGCAGCTTCCGATCTCGCGATCTCGCTGTTTCCTCCCGCGCTCACTGTTCTTCGTTCATTTTTATCCGTTTCTTTTTGAATTCTTTATATATGTATATCGCGCCTTTGTACGGATTCAGGTACGTGCCAAATAACTATGTTCGCTTTTCTAACTGCATCCATCCGCCTATCGTCCTTCTCCCGCTTTTAAACGATCCACAGTTCGAACTGTTCTCGATTCAGACTGCACACACTCCCTCTCTGTCTTCTTCTCATTCTTCTCGCGGGGTAGAGGATCGATCTCGGCGAGTCTCGATTTTACCGAGGAAAGGTCTGCTTTCACACGGGATTCACAGGGGATTCGCGGAGGAACGTCGACGCGCAACGTCGGTTTCCATTGGAAATACTCAATGAAAACAGCCACGCCGATACTTCGGCGCGGAATCCTCGTTTCATTATTTTCAGCGTTACGTTAATTTATTGAAGTCGAAGTCAAACAGACGTCGGTTTATTAAACGTTTTACCGAACGCAAAGGATGATTTGATTGAAAAGATGATTTGATTCTGCCCCCCTCTAAAGTGTACAAAGCGAGTTCGCGGTTTAAAGTAATTACTGTTTGATATTGAGCTCGAGTTGCCGTTATAAATACGTATATAAAGTAAACGTTATCTCTGTCATTTTTCAAACAGCTTTTCCTGGGGAATTTCAAGTCGACGATCTAGAGTTACCGTGGAGATCGTATTCCGCGCGGAACACTCTAATCCCGTGGAATTTTGTACAGAAAACAACTTTCGATCAGAGCGCACAATCGTTATCTTCATTTTTATCGCTGGAATTCCCTGCGAGCCTAACTCTCGAAACGGCATTCCGACAAATTTTCATTTCTTCCACTGATTTCTACGACCGTGCACGTATTTCGATATTTTCTAAAACAGCTGTACGTACACGTAACTCCAACAACGAACGATTCTCGAAAATAACCCTTGCAAATACGTTATATACGTTCGAGCGATTCTATACGTCGCTCTACGGTCTGTCTTTTTTCCAACTTTTCCCAAGCACAGGCTCGAATAAACCAGGAGCGAAAAGTTTCGCGGTGTGGCAATTTATTTTCGTTGACACGTTACGTGACATGCTTAAACGATATAGATAGATCGTTTTGCGGCACGGTGCGCGCGTGAAAGTTTAAGCCGAAGTTGAGGCGCGCCTAAGTAACAATTCCCGAAGTAAACAAAGGGAGCTTAAATTTATTTATACGTTTACTAAAATCGCGCGATCTTTCCTCTTTACATGTTTTTTTATAGAAAATATCTGTATAAAAATAGATGAAGGTATAATCGCAAATCATTGCAAAGATACTTGAATCATTCCTTCGGAGGAAGTCGCGAATGTTTAACGAATAGATTTTTCATGAATTAGATATATTCACGATACTACGTAATCTTCATAAATTTATTGAATATATTTTTTAGATATACAAAAAAATATATATATATTTATTACACATTGCATTCCAAGAATGTTTCAATGACATTCATTATTCGCGATTACGTTAGAAGATAAAAAGGAATTGATATGCTTCTAAGCTGTGTAACGAATTCGTTATATACGAATTAAATAAGTAGAAAGTAGCGCGACACTTTTCCCAGAGAATCTCATATCACCGAGATGAAAATTGCGCCTCTCGGAACGAAAATCACTTTCGAGCTCTTGAATCGCCGATAGAATCTTCTCCATAATCCGCTCGAATATTTGCAGAGGCTTTGCCAACGTTTAAACGTTTATTGAACCCGGCGAGCAACAAGTATCGAAACTATTGGTCCTATTCCGCTTGGAATTCCATCTTTGAAATTGAAAATCTGATAACACGATTTTATCGAGCATAAGGTACAACGTTCAAGCGACGCTTTCAGCTAATTTTACTTTGAAAAACGATCCTGTTAATGAAACGCGCGTTTCGATCGGCTCGCGTTGCAATAAACGAAATCTGTTAACCATCGCAATCGTCACTGTAACATCGATGGAACGCAATGTGTTCGAAGCAACGTTAGGAATTTAATGAAAATTAACGATTACATTTGATTAGGATTCGCATTCGCGCACTGTGTAACATACGATTCTTTGTTTTTCCAAGACTGTCTGACAAATATGTGCAAGAAGGTAGCCGAATTCGATTTCGACGAACGTTTAATACCGCAAGATCATCACCGTCTACTCAAAAACCAGTGAAAACGTAGAAGCGAACAAATCGAGATCAGACAGAGATCGGATTGAGATTAGATTTCGGATAGATTTTTTCTATTTTTTAATACAGTCGACGCCAAGAACGGAAATGTTGGCAGCAGTATTGAAAGTGATGCTCTTGACGATATCAAGACGACAAAAGAGGCGAACAGTAGTAGAACCTCGATTATCCAAACCAACCGACACCAAGTTGATTCGGGTAATCGAACAGAACGATCGTGCGATGTAACAAAATCTGAACTACCCGAAGCAGTGAAAATAAAATTGATTCGGATAATCGACAGTTCTGACAAGCAAGGCTCCGCGCCGTGCGAGGAATATATCAGGTGGATTCGTTCTCGCAAACGTTCACCCTTTCGCCACGACAGCTCGCAACTCACCGCAATTATTATTTGAGCCTCTCACACTCGTTACATCCCATTCTCATAGGAAGAGATAGATTAGAATACATAGGCGGCATAGCGCATATATACCCCGTCACGTCTGCGCTGCATGAGAAACAGCTTCCCGAAGGCTATAGAGACAGCACAGCGACACCCCGTACGCCCGACCACCCACCCCCTCGAGTTCTCGAGACCGTACCGCCCTCTTCTTCTACCTCTTTTTCTCTCTTCCCGAACAGGTGTCAACGTTTAGTCTATTGATAGAGGAGAATGAGAACTTGAAAGTGTTAAGATCGCTGAGAACGTTGCGAGCACTGAGACCGCTGAGAGCGATATCGAGATGGCAAGGCATGAGGGTGAGTCAGTCCCCTAGCGGGCTGGTCGTACGTTATACACATATATACATATTAATATATTACATATATCTCTCGCGTATACATAGAGTATACATATATACATATATACATATATACATATATACGAAGGTATATATATATAAATAAGCTGCGCCCGTAGATGATCCCTTTCTTGACGGCTTTCACCGGCTAGAAGTATCGCTTTCTTTTCTTGCTAGATCGTAGTGAACGCGTTGATGTATGCGATACCCAGTATATTCAACGTGCTCCTCGTCTGTCTCGTGTTCTGGCTGATATTTTCTATAATGGGCGTGCAATTTTTCGGAGGCAAGTTTTTCAAATGCATCGACGAGTACGGCGAACTGTTAGACGTGTCGGTAAGTCGAACCGCGGGGAACCCGTTTCCCGCGTGACCACGTTTATTCGTCGATCTTCCGTGCGGCAGCCGAAATGAATTTTAGAAATCAAATAACTTTGTCGAAGGTGAAAGTTTGTTGTCGGGAAGGGCAGGCTTCGTTTGCTCGGCTGGTTCGCGTCGTAAACATTTTCGGTGAGCTTTAGCATCGCTCGTTCTCTCTTCAATCCTTGGCTCAGCCTTGGCTCTCGGTTCGAGTTGTATTCGGTTCAAGATGTACGAAAAATATAATCAAAAGTTTTTCACTAGAAATATTCACTGTTCTCCGAAGAGATACAGACGATGCTCTTTGAAACTAATTAATAAGAAAACATATATAAATTAAGAAGGAAAATTATTTTATTCGAATATTCCATATATCGATGCATTATACGAAGCTTAATATTATATATAAGAGTTTATAATTTTGCAAATAAAATCATGTTCGGATTGAGTTGATTGCTTTAACATTACGATAACGTCGTGTACAATGCTATAGAGAAATACAATATCGTTGTTAATGAAAACTCGGAAAAACTATGGATGCACGGTAGCATATTTTCCGATATCTCTCGACACCGCGGCTGAAATTTCTCCAATCACGGCCTGCTCTTTCCGACGTAATTAACGAGAGAAAAACGAATTAGTCTGAATATCGATCGAGGGACCGACGAACGATGAATAAACAAGCACAAACCAGATGAAAAGAGAAAAAACGCGGCGGCGGCGGCGGCGGGAAGAGGGGAAACACGAAACTGATCGTAACGAACATTGACTTGTCAGATCGTAAACACGAAAGACGATTGCCTAAGGAAAAATTACTCTTGGGAGAATAGTAAGATCACGTTCGATCACGTTGGGATAGCTTACCTGGCTCTATTTCAAGTAGCCACGTTCGAAGGTTGGATGGAGGTGATGCAGGACGCGGTGGACGCGAGGGGCGTCGACCTTCAGCCACAGAGAGAAGCGAACATTTATGCGTATTTCTACTTTGTGATATTCATTGTCTGCGGCTCGTTTTTTACACTGAATCTCTTTATCGGAGTAATTATAGACAACTTTAACATGTTGAAGAAAAAGGTAAGCGCGGTACAGACGATTCTCGATTATTATTCTGAGTAAATATTTAGTAGATGCTCGCGCGTCCCGTGCCGCGACCGCGATTCGCGAGCTGAACCGATCGCGTATGGGTTAACCGATAAATTACGCTGTTCCAACGATTTTACTTATTTCCCTTTGGACTTTTCATTCGATTTATTACGCGTCTTTCTCTTTCATTTCTCTTTCTTCGATTATTATTATTCCTACGTATATATTTAGACGATCGCTGTCGAGTTATTTCGTTCGATACGTTGTCGGTATATCTCGTATGGTTACGAATTTAGTTTATTTCATTTACTTTTCGTTGTAGAGTGAAGAAATCGTTGGCGCTAGAGTAAAGCTAGCGAAACGTTCAAGCGTTAATCGTTCAAGTATATTAATTCGAAAGACTGAAACCTCGTTAGAAGGTAGAACGAGCTTGTACGGGGACCAGTACAGGGTCCGATCAATTCCGTAGCTCTACCCTAGCTCTAGATTGATGAAGGCTAATCACGCACTCTTAGAAATTGGGTTTAGACTCTCGAGAGTAACGGTTGTTATTAGCATTCTGCAACGGGCGAGTTTCATGGAGCACGTCCAGTCGAACGGTTCTAACGAATGTCCAAAGTAGAATCCAAAGTAACGTCGCGTTCGATCCGATCCATAAATCGAACGAAATGTAATCTTATTCGAAGGAACCCAAAGTCCTTGTCGTTCGACTCGTAAAGATCGCATAATACACGAGACAAAACTGTCGCGAGAAACAAACAAGTCCGCCTGTACGGTTCGTTGACGACGAGAAGAAGGTTATTCGAAAGGTGTTTTCTTTGAATATCGATATCTAAATGGAGAATAATCCGGCGCCCGTTGTCGAACCGCTATAAAACCGCGCGAGCAGTCCAAACGAAAAGTCCAACGTGGCTTACCGGTGACCCACGCGGTACGGAACGCGTCGACGGCTAGCGAGTAACATTAATTAAACACGAAAGAAAGAAAATGAAATGTTTCTTCTTTTCCTTTTTCATCCTTATTTTCCAGTACGAAGGTGGAGTGTTAGAAATGTTTTTGACCGAAAGTCAAAAACACTACTACACTGCCATGAAAAAACTCGGCCGTAAAAAGCCGCAAAAGGTGATAAAGCGTCCGATGAATCAAATCCTCGCAATGTTTTACGACCTGTCGAACT